AGGGGGCCAGTTCACTGTCCCTCAGACCGTTGGAGGGCCGGACTATAGTTTAAAAAACAAAAAAAAACTGAACAAATGCGGACACAGTACAGGAGATGACCAGAGACTGCGGACATACAACGGCGGCGGGAATACTGGGCCGGCCGCTCCATAAGATCCACAGACATTTCCCCCCCAAGTGTGTCTTATGGAGTGATATAGTGCCCCATTATTGGTGTCAGTGCGGGAATAGTTCCCCATCGTTGGTGTCAGTGTGGGGGGGGGAATAGTACCCTGTCATTGGTGTCAGTGGGGGAAGGGGATAGTGTATCAACATTGGTGCCAGTGGGAGGAATAGTGTCCCATCATTGGGCTCCAGCCACAGTGACAGGTGCAGAACCCCGGGTCCCTAGAGCATAGGGACGCCACTCTGGCTGTGGGCCCAGCCGCCAAGTTTCCAGTGATGGACAAAGATAGTGACATTGACACGTATTTACTATCATTTGAAAAAACGTGCCATCAGTACCATGTGCCCCCAACTCAGTGGGCTCGGTACCTGACAGCAGGACTCTCTCTCTCTCTCTCTCTCTCTCTCTCTCCCTCTCCCTCTCTCCCTCTCCCTCTCCTCTCCCTCTGCCTCTCCCTCTGCCTCTCCCCCTCTCTCTCCCTCTCTCTCTCCCTCTCTCTCTCTCTCTCTCTCCCTCTCTCTCCCTCTCTCTCCCTCTCTCTCCCTCTCTCTCCCTCTCTCTCCCTCTCTCTCCCTCTCTCTCCCTCTCTCTCCCTCCCTCCTCCCTCCCTCTCCCTCTCCCATGCACCACTTGTTTCTAAGGGCTGTGTCCACAAAGGTTACACTCCTTCAGTGTAGAGCTAATTCCGAACACTGCATTGAAACTCTTAATGCAACTATCCCACATACGCTGCCAACCAATATGTGACGATCCCACAATCGCTGCCACCAATATGTGATGGGCGCGGCGTCAGAAAACAATTTCCAGCTTGTTTCTGCCCTACAGACAACTTACAGTTGCTCTGAATCTTGAGCAACATCACCTCTAGTTTCGAAATCCATCCTGTGAATGAATGAAACAGTCCATTTACAATAATGCGGTTTTTGTTAAATTCTGTAAAATACTTCGTGACTGAACCACATATGCTGGTAGATTAATTCAGGGCTTGACAAATTTTGGTTTGAATCTAAGAACCAGCTAAAAAAAAAAAAAATAGTAACTACTTTTTTTATTTTTTTTTTTTGTGCAGCATGCGTTGTCAGCACCTGGGGCAAGGCAGTGCTTGGGCGACAAGATTCACGCAGTGCGAGTTGCCCAATGACAATCATGACAAAACCGCCCCATGTTTTAGCTGCCATTGAAAATAATGCACCTGAACCTGCGTTTTGCAATCACAGTAATTCTGCCATGATCCCAAATGCCCAGGTGTGAATGGAGCCACTCCTGGTTCACACATGCGATTCTGGATGCCCCACACTTTTTTTTTTTTATATTACTGGGCAATGCTGGCGATTCTTTTTACATTCAGCTGTCAGCGGGGAAGTCTGCTGACAGCTGCAACATTAAAGAATGATTTTAGTAGCTGTGCAGTATCTTACCGCATACTCAGATGTGGTAAGATACCGCTTAGTCAATTGTCCCCTCTGTTCAAAGTTCATGATCGAACTGTTGTCATGTTCGACTGTGAACCAAACGGGGGTGTTCAACCCATCACTAATTTTGGAAAAAAATACACTTTAATGATGAAAAAAAAACCAACACATACACACCACAATATATACCCCCTTTTTTTTGTAACATATGAAAGATGTTACTCCAAGTAAATACCCAACATGTCATGCTTTAAATTTGTGTACGCACAATAAATGGTGTCAAATACTTAAAAATCTCCATGAGTGACACTTTAAAAATTTCTACAGGTTACCAGGGTAAAGTTACAGAGGAGGTCTAGTGCTAGAATTATTACTCTTGCTCTGACGTTGAAAGTGATACCTCACATGTTTGATTTGAACACCATTTACATATGTGGTCGTGGCCTATGTATGCGTTCACTACTATGTGCAAGCAATGGTGATCAGGGGCACTTTAAACTTTTTTTAAAATGTATTTATTTATTTTTTACACTTTCACTTTAAAATAACGATTTTAATCACTTTTATTCCTATCGCAAGGAATGCATGCATCCCTTGTGATTGACATAATTAGTGACAGGTCCTCTTTATGGAGAGATATAGGGTCAATAAGACCCTACATCTCTCCTCTACAATGTAAAGCATTAGATCCACCTCTTCTATAACTACTAAAACATTAATATCAGCCTTCAAAACACTTCATAAAACACTATGAAAACATAAGCAATGCCATAAAAGCATTAATAAGCATTGCTTCAGTCTCCATACTCAACATACAGTGGGGATCGAAAGTTTGGGCACCCCAGCTAAAAATTTGTATTAATGTGCATAAAGAAGCCAAGGAAAGATGGAAAAATCTCCAAAAGGCATCAAATTACAGATTAGACATTCTTCTAATATGTCAACAAAAGTTAGATTTTATTTCCATCATTTACACTTTCAAAATAACAGAAAACAAAAAAATGGCGTCTGCAAAAGTTTGGGCACCCTGCAGAGTTGATATCTTGTACTGCCCCCTTTGGCAAGTATCACAGCTTGTAAGCGCTTTTTGTAGCCAGCCAAGAGTCTTTCAATTCTTGTTTGAGGTATCTTTGCCCATTCTTCCTTACGAAAGTCTTCCAGTTCTTTGAGATTTCTGGGCTGTCTGTCACGCACTGCTCTTTTAAGGTCTATCCATAGATTTTCAATTATGTTGAGGTCAGGAGATTGTGAAGGCCATGGCAAAACCTTCAGTTTACACCTCTTGATGTAATCCCCTGTGGATTTCGAGGTGTGTTTAGGATCATTATCCATTTGTAGAAGCCATCCTCTCTTTAACTTCAGCTTTTTCACAGATGGCATCAAGTCACCATCCAAAATTTGCTGAAATTTTATTGAATCCATTTTTCCTTCTACTTGTGAGATCTTCCCTGTGCCACTGGCTGCAACACAACCCCAAAGCATGATTGATCCAACCCCATGCTTAACAGTTGGACAGAGGTTCTTTTCATTAAATTCCCCTTCTTCTCCAAACGTACCTTTGCTCATTCCAGCCAAAAATTTCAATTTTAACCTCATCGGTCCACAGAACTTGTTTCCAAAATGCATCAGGCTTGTCTATATGTTCATTTGCAAAGTTCAAACGATGATTTTTGTGGTGAGGACGTAGAAGAGGTTTTCTTCTGATGACTCTTCCATGAAGACCATATTTGTACAAGTGTCTCTTTATAGTGGAATAGTGTACCACAACTCCAGTGTCTGCCAGATCTTTCTGCAGGGATCGTGCAGTCAAACGTGGGTTTTGAATTGTTTTTCTCACAATCCTGCGAGCTGTTCTGTCTGATATTTTTCTTGGTCTTCCAGATCTTGCTTTAACTTTCACTGTTCCTCATGACTGCCATTTCTTAATTACATTCCGAACAGAGGATATTGACATCTGAAAATGCTTTGCTATCTTCTTATAGCCTTCTCCAGCTTTGTGAGTGTCAACTATTTTCAGTTTCAGTTTTCTAAACAACTGCTTAGAAGAACCCATGGTGCTGATTGTTGGGGCAAGGTCAGATGAGTCTGGGCATTTAAAACCTTTGAGATTGACATCACCTGGTTCTCCCAGACGATGATTGAGAACAATTCATTGACACTGGCAGGTCTCAGCTTGGCAAAGGGGGCAGTGCATGCTATAAATTCTGCAGGGTGCCCAAACTTTTGCAGACGCCATTTTTTTGTTTTCTGTTTTTTTGAAAGTGTAAATGATGGAAATAAAATCTAACTTTTGTTGACATATTATAAGAATGTCTAATCTGTAATTTGATGCCTTTTGGAGATTTTTCTATCTTTCCTTGGCTTCTTTATGCACATTAATACAAATTTTTAGCTGGGGTGCCCAAACTTTCGATCCCCACTGTACATGTGAACAAGCCCTTAGAGAGATTTTCTCCCACTTGTATCTACAAAACAGGAAGCAAAAAGAAATCTCCCCAAAATAAAAAACTGAAAAGGTTTTCACCATTTCCTACTTTACCCAAATGAAAAGAAAATGCTTTTAGTTATACCATAAAGACCACGCAAGTACAGAAAATGACTTGTTGATCTCGACAAAATGAACTTCGCAACTAAATTTGTGCTGTAGGCTGATACACTAAAATCACAAGGAATGGTGTCAGTCTTGCCTAGCTGTCATTTTGCTGAACTACAGAATACTTCCCCAGTCCACAACATACAGGGAGGTGTTCTGGTGTCCAAGGCAAGACCTAGAAACCCGATTAGACTGCAGAGTGCAAAAGACAGCATACGTTTTCTGACTGGAGCAAGAGATTTCTTTTTTTTTTAGTGTGATTGTTGGAAAACAAGGCTTGTAATAGTTTATGTAAAAGGATACATTCACCTTACACCTGTATTTAGGGTTTAACATGTTTAAGGAGCACCCCCCTCTTCTCTAATAGTGGGTTCCTCACCCCTACAGCCACATTTTAAATTTTGTGGGGCTTTGCACACAGAGCCACGTCATTCCTTCACAGGAATCTGTGAATGAATTAACTACAAGCTCCATCTGCTATCATGGCAGACAGACTTGCAGTGCCAATAGACTGCGAGCATGATGATCAGTGCACTGATCGTCCATTCACTCTTCCTGCACCTCTGAAACTGACAGCCTGTACAGACACACAAGCATAAAGCTGTAGGCAGTATCTGAAAGAGCCTGACATTGCACCCACAATCCACTAATAACAGGTGCAATGCTCTGTGACAAAAATAGTAAATATGCATTTTTCTTGTGCAAAAATATGTGCATTTAATAGGTGAACAAATCCTTTACCAGACCAAAGGAAGCCAATAAGATATGTTATTGTTAGAATTGAAATACACTTTAGCGCTTTAAATACTAATCCTTGCAACAACTTACAGTTTTCCCTGCTCCATTTGGTCCCACCAAAATTGTCAGCGGAGTAAAGAAAGTTATGACTTGCTTGTCCTTATCCTCTACTCCAAAGCTTCGGACACCGAGTATGCTCATTTTCTCTATTTTTGACATCTTGAGGATTTTTTTTTGATGAAGCAAAAAAATGCCAGCTGCTCAAATCAATTTTTTTTCTGACTGTAAAATCCTGAAACACAAAATCAAGCTACTCAGTTATGCTTACACAGCAGAAGTCAAACATTTTTCATTCAAGATCATATAATACAGGTCTTGTAGACAGGTTTGTCGCTAAGCAAAGGCATTAAGACTCAGCTTCTGCACGCTCTGCAGGGATGATCTAGGCAAGATAAAAGGTAAGGTAGAAAAAAAATGGTACCTGTGTATTTAGTGAGAACAGTGATCAGACTCATTTAACCACTTCCCGCCCACCATATAAAGAAATGACAGACAGGCGGCAGTTCTCTCGTTCTGGGAGGACGTCATATGATGTCTTCCCACTCTAACTGCGTGGCGATCATGTGTCCCTGGGACACAGCGGATCACTGATCACAGCTGATCGCATGTAAACAAGGAAATGCTGTTTATTAGCAGTCCTCTCCTCACACTGGCAGCGCTTGAGGACGACAACTGGTAATCGGCATTCCTCAGAGGGGACATCTACACTGATCCCTGATGATAAGTAAAGCCCCTCAGTGCCACCTGTCAGTGCCCATCAATGCCACATAACAGTGCCTAGCAGTGCACATCAATGCCACATATCAGTGCCCATCAGAGCTGCATTTCAGTGCCAACTATCAGTGTCAGTTAGTGTTGCCAGTCAGTGCCACCTAACAGTGCCGCCTAACAGTGCCATCTATGAGTGTTGCCTTTCAGTGCCCATCAGTGATGCCTGTCAATGCCCATCAGTGCCATCTACCAGTGCCACTCACTGCAGCCTCATTAGCGCACATCAGTGAAGGAGAAAAATTACTTATTTAAAAAATTTTATAACAAAAACTAAGGAAAAACGTTTTTTTATTTTCAAAATTTTCTCTTTTTTAGTGGCGATTAAATATCACCAAAAGAAAGCTCTATTTGTGTGAAAAAAATGATAAAAATTTAATATTGGTACAGTGTTGCATGACCGTGCAATTGTCAAAGTGCGACAACGTGGAAAGCTGGCCTGGGCAGGAAGGGGGTAAAAGTGCCTGGAAGGCAAGTGGTTAAAAAGTGCACCTGCAGAGGTGGATGTAATGATCTCCTGGAGTAGGAGGGTAGATGATGCAGAATGGGTGCTAATGAACTACTTCACGTCCTGAAGGTAAGGTAAGTTGCTGAAGGTAAAGGGGGGGGGTGTAAAGAACAACTTTACTAAAAAAGTGAAATCTGCTCCACTTTCCTATTCCTTAAGTGCCAAGCCTCATTCTGAGATCCAGTCTCATCATACATCGATACATGGAGCACACCACCATAACGTTTTAACTGTATTATCATGCAAGAAATGCACATTTTAGTATGTACTTGAAAATAGTGAAAAAAGAATCTTGCAGCAAAAGTTAACAAACATGGGAGTTTAAAAAAAATAAACAAACATACATATTCACCTCTATGCTGCAGCATTGGCGTGATGGGCAGCACAGTGGATAAATGGTTAGCACTTCCACCTGGCAGTACTATGGTTGTTGGGTTGAATCCCACCACCTGCCTGGAGTTTGCATGTTCTCCCTGTGCCTGCGTGGGTTTCCTTCGGGTACTCCGGTTTCATCCCACAAGCCAAAGACATGCTGATAGGTTAATTGGCCCTAGTACAGGGGTAGGCAACCTGCGGCTCTCCAGCAGTTGCAGGACTACAAGTTCCATCATACCTCTGCAAGTCATAGCTGTAACTGTCAGTTTTGTAATCTTGCAATGCCTCATGAGAAATGTAGTTCCACAACAGCTAGAGAGCCGCAGGTTGCCTACACCTGCCCTAGTATGTGTATGTATGTGAGTTAGGGACCTTAAATTGTATGCCCCCTGAGGGTTAAGTACTGATGTGAATGTACAATATATACGTAAAGCGCTGCGTAAACTGATGGCGCTATATAAGTACCTGTAATCAATAAATAATGATGTAGCTGCCCCTTATCAGCTCTAAACCCAGTACTGAGCGACCACTGATCACACAACTCTGTCTGCTCAGAAACAGAGAGCGGCAACTGTTAGTCACCACTCGCTGCTCTGCCCCTCCAGCACTCACTGGAGCTCCAGGCTTGGGAGAGAGCAGGAGTGGCTGGCTCTGCCTTTCATCCGTGCGCTGAAGAGGCGGAGTCAACTCTCAATCAGGCATTAGGGTGGATTCAGTCAATATTGTCAGGATCCGTCCAGATTCTTGAGCAACTCTGTTGCATCAGCTGACAATAGCCTTATAAGCGAACTAAGTCCTCGTGCATGCTGGACGTTTTGATAACACTGGTAACGTTAGCTGTGTAAATTCATGTTAAAAATGTGATATTTTTTTTCAGTTTTTTTAGTGTTTTTGCATTAGCGTTTAGCGGAGTTTTCCCACGTTTTTCAACGTTTGCGGTTTTTAGTGTTTTTTTTGCATAAAAAATACAAAAACGCTGGTTTGCAGCATTTTAACGCATTTTCAGCGTTAGAGTGTTTTTACAGCTAAAAAACTCTTCTAGAAGCCCACTAGTCCTGGGATTTTTTTCCAGCCAAAAAACGTTGATTGCAGTCTATGTGTGCATGGACACATAGGATAACATGCTGTGGGGTTTACTAGCTGTAGAAAAAAGCGTCAAAAGCCAAAAACAGCAGCTGTAAAAACGTCCATTGTGCATGAGAGCTAAGGACACTTCTGAAAGATGGAAACTGACTACTGGAAAACGTAGGTTAAAAAACGTCTGTTTAATCACATGTGCATACCGCGTTTGCATTTAGAAGCTTTTTTTTAAAGAAAAGCACAGGAGAACCTCCCAAATGCCCAGAATGCACTGAAAAGTGGTAAATTATTAACTATTTCAGACTGTTTCAGAGGAAAACAGAGAGTAGAAGCAGAGACAGCAGTATGTGTTGAGATTAGGTGTGAGTTGCTCATTAACATTTCTTTTGTTTCCAAGGGTGGGAAGGTGTCCAGTGAAGTGAGTCCATAAGGCCACCTGGCAAGGGGTCTTCATGAGGAATTTGAGGTGTGAATGGTCATTAACATATCTTTTGTTTCCAAGGGTGGGAAGGTGTCTGGTGGAGTGAGTCATTAAGGTCACCTGGTGGGGGGTCTTCATGAGGAATTTGAGGTGTGAATGGTCATTAACATATCTTTTTTTTCCAAGGGTGGGAGAGATCTGAGGTGTGAATTGGTCATTACAATGTGTGACAAGCTTGGTAGAAACATCCTGATTTTAGTGTTTTGTCCATCTGAGCACCTTGAAAATGCTTTGCATGCATTTTTCATGATGAAAAAAGGCTCTGGACAGCATTGGAAACTGGAAGAGTTAAAAAAAAAATGCAAACGCTTATAAACGCATTTACAAGCGTTTTGCATTTGAAACACTGATAAAATCAACTGTTGAACGCAAGTTTTCTGCATTAAAAAAAAACAACTATTAACTCAAATGACTGTAAAGGAAGACGTGTACATGGACACATAGAAAACATTAGGGAGAGTTCAGGGCATGCTGAAAAACCACTGAACAGCTCCTAAACGTGAGTTTATCACCTGCAGTGTACATGAGCCATAAGTCATGAGAGAGCAAAGAGACCTACAAGAGAAGCTGTGGCCATACTTCTCTTTTGTAACGGGCCCTCTTTCCCTTCTCAGAAACGTGTGTGGCCATACAATATGCAATCTCTGTACAATCTCATTTGGATTAACCAAAACTAGGCAATACGAGGACAAACCTCAACAATTCAATACATACCAAATCAGGCAGTTCCTAGTGTTACATAGTTAATGGTAGAAGTAAAGGAAATTGTACAATCAGATTGTATAGTGTGGTCAGCTTTAGCCTAAGTTCACACGGCATGCTTGCCTTAAAATAAAATGCACATTAAGGCTACGTTCATACTAGCGTTGTGTGCAGGCGGCAGAGAGGCATTTGGGAAGCGTTTTTACCGCTTCCCAAATGCCTCGGACAACTGCACATTGCAGCACTTGGTGCTGTTCTAACGGGAGCGGTAGTGTTGCATCGTGTCAAAACGGACGTCTCTGGTCGAGTCAGGAGGCGTTGAAGCCTCCTATTCTACTCTATGGTAACACCATTCAAACTTCATTATAGGCGTTTGTGGGGGGGTTAACACTCGGCAAACACCTAGCAACTGCCGCTAAACAGCGCATGCGGAGTTTGCGGAGCGTTAAAAAACGCCAGACCAACGCTTGCCAAACGCTATAAGGGCGTTTGGCAAGCGTTGGTAAAACAGTGAAGTGTGAACGAGCCCTAACACCCCACAACACAGTGAACCCAGTTATTATCCCCCATTTATTGTTCATATTAGGATACAATATGTCCCTTGTGCCAAAAGGGCGTCTGCTAGTTCGGAAGTGTAGGTAGGTACAACTCAGACACACACTTTGAACTCACCGACACACTGCACTAGTAAGGTGGAAAACTGATTTCTAAAACACGATCCATACAGCGCGGGAAATCTGTCATAGAGTCCCGCCCACCGGCATGGAATTACTGTACCTTTTCCAGCCACTTCCTAGTTCACGTCACTTAGTGACACAAGATACAACCTTCTCAGACAACCCATGCCTTCTGCTCCACTTCCCTGTTTCCTGAATAGAAACCAAGCCTCGCTCTGAGATCCAGGCTCATTCTGGATCACATGATCGCCTCCCACTTCTTCGCTCTGCTCCACTTCCCTATTCTTCTGCGTTCCAAGCCTCTTTCTGATATCCAGTCTCAAGTCACACAGATCGCTTCTCAATACTCACTCATTCTTTACTTCCCTATTCCCCTAGATTCCAAAGGAGCCAGTTCAGGCTCGCGTGAACCTTGTATACACAGATTGCTACTGTTAAAAAAAAACAGTTAATATATTTACAAGAGCACAATCACTTCTATATTCCCTACAACTTCAAAAATAAACTTTAAAGCACTATTAAAGTGATAGTAAACCCTCACCTTGTAAAACATTCCATTCACTTTAAC